GGGAGGGACAACTCATCAGCTGCTTCTCTCTCATCCTCCACACCCCAGACCAGCCTTTCTGGGGGGGAAGGGGGTGCTAACCCAGGAACAGTTACTCTGCCCCCACATCACAGCTGGGAACAGCACCCCCCCCCCAAAGTTCCTGGCAACCCCCGGCCCCAACTGGTGGCTGCAGAGGGACATTCGGAGCAAATCTGAGAGCCGCCCACTGTCTCCCCCCCAAGAGTTTACCAGTGGGGTGAAGGGGGTCCACAGCTGCTAGGGAAGGGGGTCGGCCCCCACACCTGAGAACACACATCGCTTTACAAACAGTATTAAGTTAATTACAGTACAAAGGCGTAGGGGCACCCGTCCCACCCGCCTCCCACTAGAAGCCAGGGTGGGGGGGTAACGGTGGGGGAGGGGGGAAGATGGGGCCAGTTCCCTCCCCCACTACAGTACTGTTGTGAGTGCTCTGTACAAGAATTCCCCTGCTATGGGGGCATCCCCCAAACCAGCTCCCCAGCAGGGCTTTGAGGGGGGGCCCCAAGGCCATGCTGGATGGAGGGGGCAACTGGCTTTTACACCCAGGGGAGGCGCTGTGCACAGCACGGGGGGGGGGCGGGAGGACAGAGGCACCTGGCACTGGGGTACCCTGGACAGAGGCGCCTGATGGGGGGACCCTGCCAGACTGGGAGGGCATTGGAAATCCCCAGGGAGGTACTGAGGGGCAGGGGGGAAGTCAAAAGAGGGGGGGCCCCTGATGGGTGTTTCGGGGAAGGAAACTGAGTCTGCCAGGTCACGGGCAGCCAGGCCTGAGCCGCCCCCCTCAGCTCCCCGCAGAACGGATCTCGCTGGGGGAATCAGCGCTGGACCTCGGCCCAAGTTCGGCCCCCCCGAGCCGGCTGCGGCCCCCGCGACCTCGGCCCGAGTTCGGCCCCCTGAGCCGGCTGTGGCCCCCGCGACCTCGGCCCGAGTTCGGCCCCCCGAGCCGGCTCCGGCCCCCGCGACCTCGGCCCAGGATTCCCCGCGGGCAGCCAGCCCGTCAGGGAATTACACGCCGACCAGCCCCGGGTAGGGCTCAAGGCCTCTCAAGTCTCTGCCCCAGATGCAGGAGGGCGTCCGGCCCCACGGAGCGTCCGTGTCCCCCGACGTCGGTCCCGATCCGGGAGGCGCAGCGCGGGGTCCCGCGAGGTTTGTTTCGAGTTGAGCACAAGGCACCGGGAATCGGGGAGGGAGCGAGGCTGGACAAGGGGAGCCGGCCCCGGGGAGCCCAGCGCAGTCCGGCCAGACGTGGGGTGCCGCGGAGCGCACCCCACCCCGCCCTACGACATCTTCCAGATGGTGAGGGAGGCGGTGAGCACGCCAGCAGCGAAGATGGTGATGGTTTGCCAGGTGGGCGTGCCGAAGTAGGAGAGGAGGCCATCCTGGAGGTGGGGGGGGGGGGGAGAGAGAGAGCAAAGGGCATCACTGAACCGTCATACGAATGAGGCTGACATGCAGCTGGCTCTGGGGTGGCGGCAGTGCCACACAACGGGGTTTGGGATCGCTGGGAGGCAGCAGAGTCTAGTGCGTTTGGAACTGGGCTGGGAGCCAGGACTCCTGGGTTCTCTCCCTGGCCCTTGCAGGGGAGTGGGGTCTAGTGGTGGTGGGGTAGGCAGGAGTGGGGGGGCTGGGAGCCAGGACTTTAGACTCTGTCGCTGGACACATTGGCTCTGCATTGGTATCCCGGCTGGGTTTGTTTTTGGGGGGGGGGACGCCCACAGGGCACTTTATACCCCCCCGTCAGCCCAGCACGAGTCAACTCTCCAGCAAGCCCTTCTCCTCGGCCAACGGTCGCCCCCGGCCATCAGCAAAACACCTCGGGGCCCTGTGACCTCGGACTCCAGCCTGGCCGGTGACTTTCCACGCGCAGGAGCTGGGTTTGGGCCCGTGGCCGAGGAGATAAACGAGCCCGGAGACGTCTCCAGCGTGTCCCTGATTCTCCGGCTCGCCGATTTCCAAGCACAGGAGTATTTTATGCTACGGCGCAAGGCCCTGCCCAGCCCGTGGGTCCCCAGAGAGACGCCGCGAGCCGGTAGCCTGTCCCGTCCCTGCCGGGAACCCGCCCGAAGCTTTGTGGTTCCTGAACCCCAGTTAGAAGTGGAGGTTCGGGGACGGCCCGAGACACAGGCTGACCTGATTCCTTGGGACGGGGAGAAGCTGACGCAGGGTGAATTTGGTTTTCAGTCGCTAGACGCCGTTTTGTTACCGGTTTGGTGAATCTAACTGTAGAATAACCCACCGGCTTTGGAGGTGGTCACGACTTAGGCACCTTCGCTAGCTATGCAAATTAGGACAGTGCCTCATTTGCATGCAGCCTGGGGGATAATGGGGGAGGGAGGGCGGCCGGCGCTGGCTGGACTCACCCATCCTCCCTGGGCCTGGATCCAGGCCAGCACATGATCCCGGAGGTACTCCAACGTCCAGCCCACGATGGTCCGCACCAGCTCGGGGACCTTGGTGCACAGAGCCTGGGGGAAGAGGGGAGCAGCAGGGTAAGGGCGGCTGGTGAACCAGTGGGGGAGCACATTCAGGAGGGGCGGGGAGGGGCAGCCAGGGGCTGTACAGGGGGGAGGGGTCTCACAGCCAGGGGGAGGGGTAGCAGAAGGGCTGTGGGGGATGGGAGGGAAAGTAGAGGGCCACAGGGCGGGGGATTCACAGCTGGGGGAGAGGAAGGGGGGGGGGTGTCTCCCAGCCGCCCCACCTTGAGCACCAGCTTGCAGGCAAAGTAGAAAAGCGCCACGACCCGGCCCCAGTTGAAGGTCCCGTCGGAGAACATCTCGGCGGCCACGCGGAAGAAGACGTCCTTAGGGGCGTGGGCCCCCACCCGGTCAATCATACTGCGGGGGACAGAGGGTTAGAGCCAGGCCCGGGGGAGGGGGCGTGTTACCCCTCCACCGGGTGGGAGGAACAGAACCCGCTGATTGCCGGAGGGAGGGGGACAGTCCTGCCGCCCCAGAGGAAAAGGGGACGAAAAGGTGAGACCGCCTGCCTCAGTTTCCCCACTTTGGGAAGGATTAACGTGGACGAGGGGCCAGCTGGAGTCAGGGAGGGTCGAGACTCGTCTGGGGGTGGATGGAGCGGGGAGCCAAAGGAGCTGGGGGAGGCAGGCAGGCAGGTTGGGGGCTGCCCAGGGCAGAGAGAGGGATCCAGGAGTCCGGAGGGGAGGGGGGCTCTGCTGGGGCTGACACAAGGCAGAGGGGGCTGCCCGAGACCGTAGAGCCCCCGGAACCGGATGGGGCATACAGGGGACGAGATGGGGGGGGGGCCCCCACCTCTGCAGTTCGGTGTTGCTGTCGAGCTCGTCCCCGATCCGCCGCAGGCACTCGCTGAGCCGCTTGGTGTTCTCGTCGCAGGGGGGGGGCTCCGGCCCCCCAGCTCTGCCCGGCTCAGCTCCACGGCCTGGGAGTCCCCGCAGCGCTGGGCCCGGTCCCGGATGAACCTGCCGCGGGGGGGGACGGGGTCAGCCACGCGCCAGACGCTGAGCAGCCCCCAACCCCCAGCCCCGCGACAGGGCTCTGTCCCCTCCCCCGACACAGCCCCGTACCTGAACCCCCAGCCCCACGACACGGCCCCCAAAACTCCTAACGCGGCCCAGTCCCCCCCGACACAGCCCCGTACCTGAACCCCCAGCCCCAGGACACGGCCCCCCAAACTCCTAACGTGGCCCAGTCCCCCCCGACACAGCCCCGTACCTGAACCCCCAGCCCCAGGACACGGCCCCCCAAACTCCTAACGTGGCCCAGTCCCCCCCGACACAGCCCCGTACCTGAACCCCCAGCCCCAGGACACGGCCCCCCAAACTCCT